CAGGACGCTGCCCAGGGGGATGCCCCCTCCCTTTCCAAGGCTTTGGCACAACAGGAACCCTATTGAGGAGCAAAGCGCTTACGCTGAAGATGAAGAAGAGTTCAATGAACATCGCTCCGAAGGGCAGGATGCCAGCCATGAGAATCCTGTAGAGCGAGAAAGAACAATCACAAGCAGCACCATTTACCTGCCTGCTCATTACAAACTGCCTGTAGCCACACCCGCAGAAGTTCCACCGCTCCAGATTACGGGAATACACCTCACTCGGCTCCAGATTACGGGAATAAATCTCACACGGCACATGGCACAGCTGCTCCCGCTGTCGAGCACGTCCCACGTTTATAAAGACCAGTCACCCCACACCAAAACGGTCTGCGGTACCGCCTTACGCCAGGAAAGCCGTCTGCGCAGCCCCCGGAGGCTGAGGGGAGGGGGTTCACTCACCGTGTTTCCCAGACACTCAGCACTCACCCAACAAATTTATTCATGTACCACCTCTGCTCCGGGATCTGCCTGGGAATCTGATTTGTCCGTACGGGATTGTCATAGGGCTGTTTCCGGAATCCGAAGTAGTAACCCAGGTAGACCAAGGGCAAGGAGATCCCAAACCACATGCAGAGCAAGGCCAGGAAAGGCACCTGGAATCACACAGGGAGGCTGCCAGCAAGTTCTCCGGCCCCGGGGCCTGAACTCCAGCTCAACCGCCGCGCTAAGCACTGTGGTTTGGAAAGATTCCATGAACCTTGGCGATTCCCAGGCAGCCCAGACCCCCTCCTCTCCCCAGCAGGCTCCAGGGGGAAGGTGCTACCTACCGCTCCAGAGGAGTGCTTCCCCCAGATGAAACAGTTGAGGACAAAGCAGATCCCAAACACAACGCCCGGGTAGAGGGTGGCTGTCTGCAAGAGCAAACGTGCGTTAAGAGAAAGCGCGTGAACCTCAGCCAGACGCCTCCCTCTCCCGAGTCCGTCGCTGGGACGAGGCACGTGGGGCGGGAACAAACGGAAAAGGGGAGTGTTGCCTTTTGCTACAGCACTGGCACGCAGCGGCTGGGCCGTGGCTCTGACAGGCAGCCTA